CCCCCTGCCACCCATCCTGTGCCCATAAAAACCCCAGGCTCCAACAGCAGAGAGAGGAGAAGCAGCTGGACATTGGAGAGAAGCAGCTTGACTTCAGAGGGATGGCTTGACAGTGTTACCTTGGGGAGGAGTCTGGCCAGGGATGGCCAGACTCTGGGAGAAGATGATCCTGCTCCATCCCCTTTTCAGCTCCCCTCCATTGAAAGCCACATTCATCAGCAATAAAATCCTCCATATTCACCACCCTTCAATTTGTTCATGTGACCTGATTATTCCTGGACACCAAACAAGAGCTTGGATGCCATGGGTGAGGATGCTAAAGGCTATCACACTGACCGTCTGCTCTCGGTAGACAGCAACCGTCTCACACAAAAAGGCAGAGGGCCCACTGAACTGTTAACACTTAAGCCGTCTGTGGATGGCAAAAGCTAAAAGAGCGCTGACTAAAACACACGCTCTCTGGGGCTTCAGGGGTAGTGAGCACCCACTAGACACTGCCTCAGGACTCCACACACAGTTTGCTCGGGCTGATGCCCAGAAGCCCTCACCCCCAGCTCCCGCACCTGCTCACCTGTGGACTCCCTTCTGCAAGGGATGAAGTGCAATGGGTCCAAGTGAGTGGAGTTTGCCCCCGCCAGTGCCAAAGGGGCCAGCTAGATCTAGCATCCGTGCACTCCAGTTCCTACCTGCAAAGGTGTCTGGGAAATTTCCTGCTTCAAAAGCACAGGCAGCTTTCTTGGAAATGAGATAATGTGATCTCATTTTAAAGTTGAGGACATCAAGGCTCAGAGGTGATTAGAGGCATTAGAAGGGACTTCTGAAGGCAGCTAATCTAACCCTTGAAAATAGGAGAAGTTAAAGTTATGGCCCAGGTTCCACACCTCACAATTGGTGGAACCAGGCTTGAGCCTGCTTGCCTAACACCAGTGTCTTTCCCAAGCTTCCCAAGCATCTGCTTGAAATCACCTTGCCTGTGGTGGGAAGGAAGCCCAAGAATGGTGTCCTGTGTCCATTGCTGAGGCTTTGGGGGTCCAGGTACTTAGTTTACTTTTGGGAATTCCTTGTTGGCCCTGCTGAAGTCCTTCCTGCTACACCGTTCAGGGAAATTGTTGATCTTGTCAACCTGAAATAATCAAAAGGATCAGAATCCAGTTTTAAAGAGTTTATTCAAGCAAAAAGCTGGTAATGGCCATCCAAGAAACATGGACTCCAGAGAAATGGGGTCAGTGCTTCGAAGTTAAAAGTTAAGTACTTGTTTCTATACAGCAAACAAAGAAGTTTAGTAGGATTATAGTATTTTCTACACAAGGCTGGTTTATGAGTGACAAAAATTTAATTTGTTTTCTTTTCCATACAGCTTGTTTTCATTTCCTTTCCAATTTAAAAGCAAGTTTAACATTCCATCCTAGATCGTGTGCTAACTATGAAGACTTTGTGTGAAAGAGGAAAGAAGGAGGCTAATCTATAATGAAGATCCACACTTAGAGAGAAAGGGTCTTCCCTGGCACCCTTTAGTCATTTACAACATTTTACCAAACAATGTAGTTAAGGAAAAGGCTAATCTATAATCAGAGAAACAAAGGTTACAGCTGCCTATTTATGTGACTCAGGTTCCATAACCACATTCCCTTAAGGCTCAAAATAAAGTTTCAACAGCTGAGATTTTGAATTATTTATTTTCATAATCTCCACCTTTCTTAGTTCTGGGAGTGGCCTAACCAGGTGGGCCTGGCCTGCATACTCCCAGAAGGGCAGTTCTTCCTAGCAGCCTTTGGCTTTGAGGACCTCTCCATAATCCTTAATCCAGTCCAAGGTTCTGACTCTGTTAATGGGTAAAGAAAGGTTATGCCCTATAAGACTCTGACCTCTTCTTGGGACCTGGAAAATCTTCTGGTGATTTTCTTCATCCTGAATCTGCTGTTTCTAAACTGCTTGAGACCAAGATAAAGCACACCAATTTACAAGGCATAACTCCTAGGTGAGGTCATTCACTAGCCTTTTCTTTTCTTTTCTTTTCTTTTCTTTTCTTTTTTTTTGGAGACGGAGTGTCTCTCTGTCGCCCATTCTGGAGTGCAGTGGCGCCATCTCGGCTCACTGCAAGCTCTGCCTCCTGGGTTCACGCCACTCTCCTGCCTCAGCCTCCCGAGTAGCCAGGACTACAGGCACCTGCCACAGCGTCCGGCTAACTTTTTGTTATTTTTAGTCGAGGTGGGGTTTCACCATGTTAACCAGGATGGTCTTGATCTCCTGACCTCGTGATCTGCCCGCCTCAGCCTCCCAAAGCGCTGGGATTCCAGGTGTGAGCCACCGCACCCGGCCTCTCACTAGCCATTTCTTGTATTTGAGGGTCTCAGGGTGACATCTCTGAATATTCCAACTTCATTTCCAGCGCTAGATTAGTATTTCTATTCTTCTTTTTAGAAAGAAAGAAAGAGAGAAAGGGGCGAGAGAGAGAGAGAGAAAGAAAAAGAAGGAAGGAAAGAAGGAAGGAAGGAAGGAAGGAAGGAAGGAAGGAAGGAAGGAAGGAAGGAAGGAAGGAAGGAAGGAAGGAAGGAAGGCAGGCAGGCAGGAAGGGAGGGAGCGAGGGAGGCAGGAAGGAAGGAAAATAGAAATATTGGAGTACAATTTGTGGCACTCAATTTCAAGAACAAGCTTAAAAAAAGCTAGAAAGTTGTAATTGCCAAATACAGTAACCTGCTTGGCATGCATGTCGCCTTTTATTGCTTTCAAGCTACTATACCTGACAGCTCTTTTATTTCTCCCTTTAAAAAAATCCTATATCTGGCTAAAGGCTGAAAAATAGCAAGTGCATATCTTTCTAATGGCCCTACATTAATTTAGCATAGAGATAATTAGAGGCACAATTAACCTTTAGTAATATAAGCCCTGAGATTGGGGCACATGGGCTTCTTTTGCTATTCAACAGAGTCCTTGTGTGGCTAGTTTTTGAGCACAGACACATCTTTATTTTTTACACACCGAGCTTTCTTTGACATACAAGCCAAAAATTTACTTGAAGCAACCTGAATAGTATGAGAGAGAATGTTTGTTTGTTTTTTAAAGTCCGGGGAATTACAGAGTATTAGGGCATAATATGGGCATGTTTATATAGAACAGCTGAACACAGGCAGTTTATAAAGCAGGAAGTGAGCACATCATGCTTTTTAAATTTACTTAAAATATTTTGAATTCTTGGTATTCTTATCCATTCAAGAGTCTCTAACACTAGGGTTGTAAAGTAGAAACCAAATAGCATTGATAATAGGGTTTTGTTTCATCTTTGTCTTAGCTACAATTTGGGAAATGTTTATGTGTGTATGTGTATATGTTTGTTCCAATAATGATTTAAAATTGTGTATTCACAATGCAGTAGTGTGTAAACACTACTGAATCACCAGAAATGCATCCAGTAGTGTATGCACAAAATAGAAATCAAGGCAAAGGTAGAATATTTAGGGAAATAAAATTAAGCTAAGGATAAGGTTAGTACACAAAATGCATCTTGTGAGGTTCATCTATTTGGTCTACTAGTGGGCATGGGAAGGATGCCTGAATTTAAATGAAAATTCTAGTACTGATTATAATTCACATATTCTTTCATTGCCTTAGAGTTTTTAATTGTGCCCAAATAAGTCTCGGTATTCATAAACTAATAGCTTGAGTTTGTAGATTCACATATCCAATGATATCCTCCTTGAATCTTTCTGCCATTTAGTCATTTTACTTCCAAGTATCATGACATCCAACAGAGGTTGATGAAGGAAAAAAGATGCAAAAGTCATGCCATTTCCTTTTTTGCCTTAAAATAAGGGTGTGTGTATTGGGAGAAGGAAAGGGTAAAGCAGTTAGATGTTATTAGAAATACTTGGAAGATAATTAAGAAGAAATAAAAATTTGTGATTTTTAGTTATCAAAGTCATCATTAAATTGTGTTATCCATACAACTGAAGGATTTCAATATGGGCATCTTGTTAAGGAAAAGCTTTCAGAGAATGGTAACATTTCTTAATAGTGAACATGTCCCTACACTCACATAATTATAAGACTTCATGTACAAGGTACTCAAGATCAGAAACTTTGTAAAAAGCCTTTTAATCAGATAAACCTGAACATATCATTACCTAGAAATAACTGAAAACAGTGCAAAACATTAGATAACAGTCATTTGATAATATGGTAAATAAATCAATAGGATATTATATTCCTATTAAAATTATAAAAGTCGCATAAACAGGAAAGATTATACAAATATGCTACAAAATGTACTTATAATAAAAATATGAGAAAAATACAAACTGATATGCAAATATAAAATATGTAAAATAGCCAAGAATGGTGGTTCACACCTGTAATCCCAGTACTTTGGGAAGTCGAGGTGGGCAGATCGCTTGAGGCCAGGAGTTCGAGACCAGCCTGGGAAACCTGATGAACCCCTATTTCTCCCAAAAAAAAAAAAAAAAAAAAATTAGCTGGACGTGGTGGTGTGCATATAGTCCTAGCTACTGGGAGGTTGAGGTGGCAGGATCGACTGAGCCTGGAAGGTCGAGGCTGCAGTGAGCTGAGATGGCACCACTGCACTCTAGCCTGGGTGACAGAGAGACCCTGTCTTAATAAAAATAATAAAATATGTCAAATATCTCTGCAGGTAGACAAAGGTGGTATGTGAAAGCAAAAGAGCTGTATTGGATTGACTAAGATTTTTTTTCTCACAGTGTTCTTTAATATTTTGTCATTATAATAAGTATAATTGATGGGGAAGAAATGACAACAAAGTTTTCATGTGTAGAATACTTTTTATAGACTTACTGAATAATGTGTACTTTCTGTTCACTATATTTTAAAATATAACTTCAGTCTAGATTTTACAGACTCATGGGAAATGATCTAAACTATTTTTCTTGCCATTAAAATGTGCATTTGGGGGTATTTTTCCATAGACATGGATACAGGAGAACTCAATAATGTTCCTCTTCCTTCTTTCCAACTCTTATTTTCCTTAGGCATTACCACAGGAGTCTTGGTTCGAGAACACAGCAATCTCTCAACTCTGGAGAAATTCTACTTTGCTTTTCCTGGAGAAATTCTAATGCGGATGCTGAAACTCATCATTTTGCCATTAATTATATCCAGCATGATTACAGGTACCTTGAGAAAACTGATGTTCTCTGTATTAGTCCATTTTCATACTGCTGTAAAGAACTTCCTAAGACTGGGTAATTTATAAAGGAAAGAGGTTTAATTGACTCACAGTTCAGCATGGCTCAGAAGGTCTCAGGAAACTTACAATCATGACAGAAGGCAAAGGGGAAGCAAGACAGCCTTCTTCACAAGGCGGCAGGAAGGAGAAAGGCCAGGCAAAGCAGGAAGAGCCCCTTATAAAACCATAAGATCTCGTGAGAACTCACTATCACGAGAACAGCATGGGAGAAACTGCCACTATGACTGAATTACCTCCACCTGGTCTCTCCCTTGACACGTGGGGATTATGGAGATTACAATTCAAGATGAGATTTGGGTGGGAACACAAAGCCTAACCATGTCATTCTCTATGATTATTTAAAAAGCTTTCACCTAAGTTGTTCTTTTCTAATTATGGGAAAAATTGAAATACATTTGATGCATCTCTCTCTCTCTCTCTCTCTCTCTCTCTCTCTCTCTCTCCCTCTCCCCCCCTCTCTCCCTCTCCTTCTCCTTCTCCTTCTCCCTCTCCACCTCTCTCCACTTGGAATGTCTATATTTGCTTCTGTGGAAACATTTCACTGTTCTCAACATGGCATTGCTTTGTCATACACTGTGCCTACAGCGCTGTCCACCACTGCTCAAATCTTCATTTGACCAGCATATGATGTCTTGGGAGGAAAATATCATTTTCAAACATAAACAAAACATTATCTGGGGCATGGAAAAAAAAAAAAGCTTATTTAGTCACTGACATGTTAGCTAGTGTCCTCAGGAAAAATATGATTGTCAATTTTGATCATGTTTTCAGTCATTCACTCATTTATTTCCCAACTGCAGCTGTACTGCCCTCAGCCTCTCAACAGCTGCCTTCAGGTTCTCTCTACTCCTTACCCACTTTCTACTCAAACCCAGAACTTGCTATGTATCTGCCCTACATATTTGCTATGGGGACCAGCAGTCAAATTCTGTGAGAAGGGTTTAAATATGGATGTGCACCACATTTGAAAGGCCCAGTATTTTTAAAACTTGTGACAGTTGCATTTGGAAATGACTTTTCCCATATTGATCATTATATTGCAGGGTTCCTTTGAAGAGGAAGCTTCCTTAGGTAGATAGAGATGAATCTGGTTTACAAAAATGTCATTTGTCTGGGTGTGATAAGTTTCTCTGCATTGCACAGTTTCTTATACTTAACTCTGGCAATTGGTAAAACATGGCATGACAGTAGCTGGTGCTGTTAGCTTGAAAATCAAGGTTTTATGTAAACACGCAATTAGATGTCATGACATGTCCCCTTCTAGAACATTTTTCTTCACTGCCACTGTAAAGACCTGGGACTGGCCCTGGTAGAGTACTGGACATTGGTCAGGGGAAGAGAGGGTGGGGGTCAGGATCTGCTGCATTCAGGAACTGCATTGCTTGAAGAGCTGTCACATTTGGCCTTTGAATTTCCCAATTGCCAAACTCCAACCAGACTAGAGTCCCTTGGGAACTGTGTCCTTAAATGGTCTTGATGTTCTCGGCTTATGAGAAACCTAAAGAGAACATTTAATTATTTTTATATGAATGTATTTAATTATGTTTGGAAATGCCTGGTTCCTTTTAATCCTAGCAGCCTGACTGACACAGCAGCAGATCAATTATTTGTCCCATATAATATTTATTTGTTTAAATTGTCATAAGCATTTAAAATTGGAAAGATTTCATGTAAATATCCAAATTTCTGGCTTTCTCTGAAAAAAAAAAATGAAGATCTGGGAACACTGGCCCAATATTCCCACCTACCAACAGTGGTCTGAAACCAAGAGACAACTACTTCATTTAGTTGGAGCAAATGCATTTGAGAATGCTATAGTCTTCACAACTCCCTATTGCCCAATACCTTGTCCACTTCACTCTTACGTTACCTGCCTGGCCGCTATAAGGATTGTAGTTATAACCCCTTAGAATCTTCTCCATATCAAAGATTCTTTAAAAAAAATTTTTTTTTAAACATGGGGTCTTCCTAAGTTGCCCTGGCTGGTCTCGAATTTCTGGGCTCAAGAAATCCGCCCACCTCAACCTCCCAAAGTGCTGGGATTATGGGTGTGAGCTGCCACACTCAGCCAAAGATTCCTAATCTTTTCTTGGGCTCCTTTGAGAACACAATGCAAGCTTTGGACTTCCTTTCAAGAAAAATCTTCACAATTGTACATGTATATACTGTATTTTGCATGCAATTGCACAAGGTGCATAAACTACCTGATGAACAATACTATTTAACTCATGTATCTATGAGGGGAAGTATAGAAGATTGATCCAAATTATGCAGCAAACCCAAAACTTGAGGTAAAATAGGTTTTAGAAGAAAAGGTAAAAATACATGTATGAAAATACTGATTCTGTAATATCAGATGTTTGAAAATACATGCCACTCTTGGCAGTCAATAAGTGAGTTTTGTTTTGGTTTGTTTTGGTTTTTTTTCTGGGAAGCATAACCTTTGGCCAGAAGCCAGAAACAGGTACTTCCTCTAGTGAGATTTTTGCAGTCTGGATGTTTTGTGTGTTAGCTCAGTCTTGTAAATAATCTAGGAAAATAATTTACAACTCAGCATTCCACTGACATAGCCCAGCTACTTTTGAAGCTATAGCATGGGTCAAGTCATTTCTCCACTTTTCTTCCACCAAACCCACAGCAGCCAGTCAAGAACTAGAAACAGCGAGCAAAACCACCACACCATCTTTTGATTTGGAGCAATGAAATAGTCAAAGATTCAAGGGATATGAACAAAGCAGGGTGGGGACAATGATGGCATATCCATGTTTTAAATTGTCATATTAGAGAGGAAAAGCAACAAGACTAGTGTTGGCACAGTTATAGGAAAATAAGTTCATTCATACACTTTAAGTTACCTTATAAATTGGAATAAACTTTCTGGAGGACAGTTTGGAGCATGTTCTGATCTCTTCACCCACTAATTCTGTTTCTCAGAATTGATCATAAAGAAATAAACAGAGATGTGTTCAAATTCCTAAGTACAAGGATATTCATGGTAACATTTTTTTGTAATGATGATAAATTATAAGCAACCTAAATGTATACAAATGTATATTGTATACATATGTATACATAGTATACAAATTTTCATACTAAGCAACTGTTAAAAGCTTGTTTTAGAATCATATTTAATTACATCTGAAAACATTCCCAATACAGTATAAAGTGGGAAAATAAAATTACGCAACAGGATAGTGTGTACAATCCAAATTTTATTAAAATGTATATACATTTTTAAAAGTTGTGATCAAAACCAAAAGGTTAACATCCGGGAGGTAAGAAAACATGATCCATTGTGCTTTCTTTACATTTTCAACTGAACATGTGTTTTTGTTTGGTTTGTATTTTTAATAAAAGAGATAGGGATGGATTCTGCCCTAAGCTCCTCCAATTTTGCCTCTGGTCGCTTCTCTGCCCTATCTCTGCTCCCTTCCCCTGCCAGCTCAGTGCCACCTTTACCTGGTACACAGCTCCTTCCTCCAAACTCTGAAGTAGTCCTCAGCCTCCCCACCCAGAAGATGGCCATGGAAAACACACAGGAAGGGTCATTTCACATTGCAAATGCCCTCATAAATCCAGCAGGCTGGTAGCTTAATGTATACAGTTATTAGGCCGAAGGAGGATGCAGGTGGGAAGCTGGGGAGGGTTGAATGAGTCCCCTAAGGATATGTAAATCAGAAGCAGAAACACAGCTGGAACTCAGACCCAATATTAATAATCTGTGCTCCTGCAGAAAGGAAGCTCTCTTGCCAAATTAACAGGTAGAAAAAAATTCTGCCATCAAAAGCCTCTGGTGAGATTTAAAAAAACACTTTATAGCTTTTTTAAAAAACAGGAAGAACCCCTTTTTATGTGATAAGGTTAAGTAGTCATATTTACCAGGGAAATTTGAATACAGACTGGCTATTAGATGGTATCAATAAATTGTTAATGATTTTGTTAGAGATGGTAATGGCATATAGTTGTATAAGAAAATGTCCTTACTTTTTAAATGCATATATGAAATGACATAATGTCTCAAAGTTACTTTAAAACAGAAGAAAAAATGGCACAGTCGATATAAACTCAAGACATTTTCAGAGACAGTCATTGTGGGTACTAATAGAATCCTACCCATAAATTACATTGTGAAGAACACGCTCCTGCCATGCTGAGGAATATCTGTGTTTGGGGTCTGCTAACATTTAGGCTTGTAAGCTGTATTTATATCAAACCACCAGAGAAATAACAGGAAATAGCTTATGAATATGCCTGAGAATTGTGGCTCTGGAAAAATCCTGGTCCAGGTCTCACCAGCCAGTGAGTTTAAATTCAGGTCACATTTTCTTTAATACTTCCCAAAACTAAATTATGATGATTGGAGCCTCCTATGACCGGCACAGGAACAGAACAGCACCTCCAGTCCCACTCCCAGAGGTCCCCTGAGCATCCTTCCTGGATGCTCATAACTTTGCTCAGGAAGAGGTTCCAGCTCTTCCACTTTAGCCTCTGCCACCCCCGCTTGGGCCAGAAGCACTCCAGTGGGCACAGCTGCGCCTCCTGGTGTCTGCTGTGGCTGCCACTACCACTGTGACCTAAGGAGTTCCCCTCTTTGCTCCTCCATCCTAAGACAGGAACAGAAGCTTAATTCTCCAAAGTGCAGCTGAGACCACACTGCTACTCAGGATATAATCTTTGCTAAAGGTAACCAAAAGCAGATGAAACACCAATGGTGACATCCAGCTGCTCCCTGAAGGGGCTCCCAGGGTCCCTTAACAGAGATGCCCCTCTGCTGAGCTGCCAGCTTGCCTTCAGGAGGCTGGAGTTCATCTCTCCACTAAAGGTGTTCCAAGCTTTCCTGCACCCCAGATCCCAGAACCTGACACCAGGTTCTAAGAAGGAAAAATTCCACTAGCACACAGGCCATCCTGTACTGACCTGGAG